CGCATGAATATGACGCGCGCGGTGCGATCAACTGTGGCAAATTGTACATTGTACAGTACATACACCACCGCGTCATGCGCGTTCCACGTAGCATTACATCGAACGCTCTAGACCATCGTCACCCATGCAATGGGTGCAAAAGGTGAGGTGTTTTGTCTGTATGAGGTATAAGGCATTATTGGGTATCGTTCATACATACACTGTCTCCCCTAAGGGGAAGTGACACTCAAAAAAAAATACGCAGCTAGTATAGCTCGCGATGTCCTTAATGCCTGGAGTCGGTCACCCTCCTCTTTCTCCTTCGTTGGCAGATCTTGTTACTGCCACTACTGTCCGATTCTGTTCCGTTACCCGCTACCAACGCAAGACCCGGCAAAGAGGACGAGACAGCTGGTGGTGAGCTGTAAGGGTCCCCGGCAGTGACTACGGATGGGGTTCCAACGGGTAGGATCGACATGACTGATTCTTGTCCTAGAGCCGCGGACGTGATCGCAGTCGCTGATGGGTAATTCACTGGGTTACTACCATCAATAGCGACCGAGCTGGTGACCCCAGCCGCACTACCAGGAGCTGACGAAACAGCAGGAAGGGCTAAGGGTTGTTGAGCGCCAACAACATCGCTACCGGTATAATCGGTACAGATCCCCGCCAGGCAGAAACCGCCGGTCTGGTCGGAAGCCTTTACGAGTGATGCTTGTTCGGTGTAGCCAGGGTCGGTCTGCTTGGGGTAATTCTCAGAGTATTTGGACGAGTTGAATTCTGGGTTGCTCCCTGGTAGGGCGGCGACAGCGATATTCTGACCGACGATCTAGAAAGAAAGAACGAAGGCGTAAGCGCGCCCGCAACTAGCCCTCGTACAATACTTGGGTGTGGCTCAAGCCTGCGACCCGAACGGTCAAACTCACCTCGTTGACAACATCTCCCTCGGTCTTACAATCATGGCCATTGTCACCTCGGAAAGGGTGGAATACTTGGCAGTCCTTTGTGATCAGGCCCGTGCTCGCATCAAAACACTGCTGGAACGCGTCGACCAGGAAGCCGCTCGGGAAACCGTTCAGCCAGTCGGCATGGAAAGAGTAGCCATGATCATCGCCGTTGGCCCTAGCATGGAGGATTGTCAATTTGACTAATCTTAACAAAGTGGGGATTGATGGGTCGATCTTCCCTGATGGCGCTTTCACTCACATGACAAAACAACCTGGGTACCACTCGTACCCCGCGGCGATATTGTCAGCGTTGATGTGGTAAGTCGCTAACATGCGTCATAACGGTCATCAGCTATTCGACCCATTCGGAAACGAATCTTCCGCTTCAAGTCCACACTCACTTTCCAGGAACAGGTGAGGGATCTTGAAGAATCCTTCGGGGCATACTCCCCCTTCTGGATTGCCGTCAACAGGGTATGCGACATGCGAGTTACCTTCTTTGAAAGAGTCAACCCCGTTCCAATACTCTGGGAAATGGAGCTGCAAAGGCCGAACGCAAAAGACGAGCCAATAAGACGTCGGCTCCTTCGCAAAGTAAAACGGAGGGGTTTATGAACTGACCTGTGGTCGAAGAGTTAGACATTCTCTATCGGTAGGCATGTGCCCTGTGTAGTCTGGCCAGGCAAGACTTTCTCAGCTGACATCTCCAAATTGATGAAAGTCAGGAGCTGATGAGTTGACACACCGTAAGATCCGTTGGCATCGATGCACAGGAACTCTACAGCCTTGTTCGAAGCATTTGCAGGATTGAAATCGTCCCGCTTGATGTTGCCGGCCAGCATTCTGAAATCGTCGGGTATGTTTGCAAAAGGCTGGCAAGGATCGGTGTTTGTCAAGGGGTATTTCCAGCTACGGACCCCAATGGATCATCAGCTCGCCTATCGAGTAACTTACGCATCGGCAGCAGCCGAACAACTGGGACTCGTGCTAGCGGGGAATGGCAGCTACACTTACTAAGCTGTAATGGCTAGATCATTGCTCATGACAGCACTGTAGGTCCCGTTCTTCCATTTACTAATTGGGTTGCATTCATCGTCAGAATCTTTCTGATGTATCCCTCTCCTAGACCAGACTACTCACTAGTATAGCTGAGGTGCCCAGTAGCTAAGGAGGTTAGGTCAGTGATTTGTACGAGTACTGCTCCCCCTATTTTATCGACTGCTCACTTGGACATGTCATTTTTCAGGTTGGAGGTCGTGCACTGAACAATACAGCAATGTCAGCTTGACTCTGGTGTGTCCGATCCGGCAAATCCATCCCGCCCGTGCAGACAGCATCCACAATATTATACGTGTACTGACCGATCCAGATTGGGCTGTGGCATAGGTCATGTCCGCCGCGAATGCGCTCGAGCCAGCTACCATATGGACGTGGCCGCTGACTTTTCCGGGGTCGACAATGGGGTCCAAACGTGATCTGATGAGGGGGAAGAAGTCTTCCGTGAAGAGGAGGTTGTCGTACCCTATTGCCGGGATGTACTGGGCGCCCATAGCGGCGACGAGCGGTGCCGTGAGGAGCGGGACGAGAGCGGAAAGATACTTCATGGTGGCGTAGTTGTGCTCAGGAAACTGCCCTTTGTGACGATTCGTGATAAGTAACGATCAGTTCGAGAGATCCCGACTTGATCTTCGAGCGAAATCTGTTCACTGGTTAGCGGCTTGGCGTGAAGCCAGTAAAGAACGTTGTAAATCTGCTGAAAGAGCGTGAGGTGGACTATATGCCTGCTGGTCGTTGTCTTCTGTCGAAGAAGAGCGAGGACTAGATACTTGAAAGGTTTATCGTGACCGAAAATGTACGCCAAGAACCTCGGAAGGTAGTGTGACTACCTAAACTGCCCAACGAGGATCAAAGTGGGAGAAGGTGCGAATCAAGGAGATGAGGTCCTGGAAGAGGCATTCCTCTTCAATGTTGGAGACATTTATAGCTCTCATGGGATGTGAGATGACCAAGCCCCTTAGTGAATATATCCATTCACGCCCTTGGCACACCTCAGATCAGCTTCACGCATGTTGAGTTGTATCGGGTCACACAAAGGGATGATCCTGATCAATCAATGATTGAAGCAATACCCCTTCATTCCGTATGGAATCCTTTGAAGGCTGTTCAGGCTACACAAGTGATTTATTGCTTACCAAGTCCTGCAAGTAGATGGATTAAAGGATGATCACGGGACTACTTGAAGGAGGACTATATGTTCACTATACCAGTGAGCATCCACTTCACTCCCTGATCTGTCAGTCACCACAGAGGATACATCGTTCCATGCTAGTACATAAACAATCCTCCTGCCGTAGTCAGTCACCAGCGAGCCCATGCATGGTGTTGGAGGAAGTTAGCCACGCCACTCGAGTCGCCTCGGTCTTAGAATCGCAGAAAGTGTCGGCTGAGCCTAGACAACTTGTTAGCTAGACGGGTATCAGAAAGACCTTGGTACATAGGAGTTTGTTTACCAGGGCCATCCCTGCAGGACAACAGCAAAACTCTCCATCATGCCTTGCAATATGTATGGAAAACTTGAGCAGGAAGCTAGGGTCATGGGAGTGCCTGAAGCGGAGACGGGGAGGGAGCGAAGAGAGTTGCCGTTAGATGACGACAAGCTGATTTCGACAAGGTCTCGGTGGGAACGTGCTTCTCACCGTTTTGATCCATTCAAGCATGAACCCTATCACGCAGGATCTTCCATGAACGAGATGAAGCATTTCAGCAGGTTAGGCATTGCATTTATTGATTGCGCTCATCAAAAAGGTTCTTGCTGATTTGTTTCGTTCATCATATATCTTACACATGCGTGTAACATATCGCTATTCCCCCCATCGCTCAGTTAGACATGATCACCCTCTCTCGATTGTTCCGCTACGTGGTGGAAATTTCCCCCATCCTGCTCTTCATGAGCATCTTTTTCGCGTTCACCGCCGTGGTCTGGATAGACCCCGCAAAGGCCGTCATCCTTGGCGCCGGTTTGTTTATGCTCGCCTTCGTACATGAACAGATCGAGGACTTGACTCTGAGTTCGCTTACCCCTGAACAACGCAGATGGCTGGGAGGTAAGTTGCGCGTCGACCGAGACGCCCCCATACGATGATCAACCGCGTCTGACCACAAGATGAGCAGGCATCTGTGATGTTGGTGTTTGTGTGTTGTATTCAGCTTGGGTTTATACTCTTTTCTACCACGATCTAGGACCGGTGACAGAATTGTGAGTGTCGATGAACTCGAAGGCTTCACGTCAGACTTCGTCACGACATAAGAATCTGAACGTGTGCCGTGGTATACATAGCTGGCTGTTTGCTGTGCTGTCACTCCTGTGCGGTCTCTATAACGAATTTCGAGATGACGAAGACAAATCGAGTGATCCCGCGGCTCAGCAGCAGACAGGCACGCCCGCGCAGCAGCCAGCCACCCCAGTGAATCCTCAAATCCGCACGTCCAACCGTCGGTTCAAGAGAGTCGCCAAGATGCGCAAGGCGTTCACGGAATGGGGCCTCGCTTTCTTTATCGGGTTCTCGGCGAACGGGCTCACTGCTCGACGATCAGCAGATGATGGCACATGCGGTGACTACACCCAGGTCAAAAGCCCCGGCAAGACTGGCAAGGCACATTGATGGTGTGGGGACGTGATGATGTTACTGGCGGAAGCTTAAGATATGCAGATGGCAACAAGGCCGTATGGGACAATAGTAGGCCGGATCATATAAGAAGACGTAGAGCATGCAAACACGGTCTGACACCCGCATCTACAGACGGAAAGGACTAAGTTCACCCTTCAAACGGAAGAGCCCAAACGACCTTGAAAGCCAAGGTTAACGATTCTCATCGCTCTTCCTACCAGACACGCCACCAGACAGCAGAGGCCAGAACCCTCATCTCGTGTCTGTGTATCTCCCTTCCGTCAGGAGGTTCACCGCGAAGAGCGGACGGGACGATCACAGCGTGTGATCTTACCTTCCTGGCCTATTGACAGACCCTCTGTACACAAAGTCACACATATTGAAGTAAACTCCCTTGTTTCTATCTTCGGCCATAGAACACATAAAGCACCGCATCCCGTCCGCTCTGCGAAGTTTTAACATGTGTATCGCTCGGTTAGTACCAGGGTGGGGGACCACCTGGGAATCCCGGGTGCTGAAGTTTTTGTTTTGTATATCCGATTTGACGTGAGAGCGAGCGATTGGACTTGCTTCCTCCAACATTGCGATTGCGAGGAAGAATCGGCTTGAAAAATCCGTTGGGCGAGATAAGATAGGGTGTTTCGAACGGGGTGTGTGTGTGTGTGTGTGTGTTCAAAAATGATCCAAATTCTCCGATGGTTCGTTTAAGTCACACACAGTTCTGCTCACGCCATCTATCATGTATCATAAAAGAGCGTGATGCATACTCATAGTCCAAACTTCCATAAACTGTCTAACTCTACTACCTCTACAACACTCGCCCTTTTTGCATGACCACGAGAGCGCCGCATTGAGCTTCCGTACCTGCGACAACCATCTCTATCTGCTACAATTACCCTCACCACACAACCCCCTTTGGTAGGCTCGTCATATTCGATATATGACATCGGCCGAATCTCCTCTAACCCTTCAGTGCGAAACATCGCTCGATATTCTGCGCGTTATTACCCCACCAATTCGGCATGACGACGCCTGTCGTACCCAAGAAGATGAAGATGAACAGCAAGTTCGCGTTAAACCCGGTATCGACTGCATGCATATATGCGGGCAGTCAGCGGAAGCTCGAAACGGGATGTTTGTCAAATGAGTTGACAGGTAGAACTCACGCGCTGCACCAGTCTACACATCGGCGTAGGCGTTAAGGAAAGTCAGGTCAGTCCCATCTTACAGCTTACAGTCATGTCACCCAGACATCTGTTAGACTCACAATGTATGCGAACCTGGGCACAAGAGTCAGCGTATGCACTACAGTGTGGTGGTGAATGGTCAGGACTCACTTGTTCCAGAAGGCATGCCTGTACCTGTAAAGGTAGAAGTTCCAAAACGTTCCTACCAGGAAAGCGGTGAATGGTCCTGTACTTAAATTACCTCTGAAGACAGCGGCATCGGCGAAGAAGATGGTCGTGTTCCACAGATCGAAGCGGGCTCGAGGGAACTTTTTGTGCAAGAGCCAGATGATCAACGGCGCGGCTGCTCCGGCACTGAAGTGAGATTTGAATTAGCTCAACGATCTACTGAAGAGATGATCAATCGAAGATCGACTTACGCGAAACCGTATACAACCGGGGCATACATCTCGGAGGCGAAGAGTCTCTTAGGCCCGACAAGGGCATACTGCACTCCGGCAGTGTTATAAGATCGGAACTCCTGCCCGGTCCACTGGTTCTGAGGGTCGGCTACTCGACCGCTGACGTAGTCGAATTTGGAAGCAATGACCCATCGCATCACACCATAGTTGATGGGGATCGCAAGCATATTGGCGAGAATCTGGATACCGATGACCTGACGAGGGGGCAAGTGGAAGTAATGACCGATCTGCGTTTGGCCACACGTCAGCTAATGCAGAGGCGGGGTACGACAAGGCGACATACCTTCTGATCCTCGAGCACAGTTCGCGCATCATACCACACGTTACCCGAGATGATTCGATAAGCGAGCTGACCGAGGGGATGTCTGGAAGAGCCTTTGACGTCGATCATGTCTGAGTCAAATTCGAAGGTCAGTTGGCTCCTTGCCAACCGGAAATTATGGGAAGAGTTGATGACTTACATCCATAGATCAACTCGTTGAAGAATCCGACCTTGATGCCGTATCCACTCAAACTACAAACATGATTAATCAGCCGAGATTCCGGAAGCTATTGCGTGTCTCACTTACGCATAGACCATGCCCATGGGAAGCATTGCAGCGGCGCCGAAACCAAGGGCGACGAAATAGGTCCAGATAGGCATGTAAGTCTGCTTTGTCGCAACAACACCGAGAAGCATGACGATGGGGACTAAGGTCAAAGCCACCCATTCCCTGCACGAATAAGCACCCTGTCAGCTCCGTAGAAGCGCTTCTCGCTGGTAGAGACTCGGCAGTCACTTACCAGAGAGTGAGTCCTGGATAGGACCTTGCCAGAACGCTGCGATGACAAGCGTTAGATAACTTCCGGACCAGCATAGGGTACGAACGCTCAAATCCGGCCAAGCGCGTTTGATTCAATCCTCACCTGAGTCGATCATTGTGCAGGGCCTTTTTCGATCTCCAGGCCTTCCATGCTCGAATAATGTTGGGCGCCATGAAAAGACCACACCAGACGAAGGAAGAAACGTATGAGGCATACCACTGTCATACACAGAGTGAGTTAATGGATCACCTCCCGCGCAGAAAGGGAAGCGGACTCACGAAGAAGATACCCCAAAGGTATGCGGCGCCGGAGTAAGCAAGCCCAACTTCGTCATACTGTGTACAGATCAGCCAAGCCTCGCAGCCGAAAAAATTAGCTGTGTCTGACTCACCCTCGTCTCATTGAAGACCTGCAGGCCAGAATTCTTATCGGTGTAGACTACACAAGCGAGGTGAGCAGGCATCAATGCGAAGATCATACTACCTCATTGACTTACGAATGGAGTTGAATGGGTAGGCGGAACCGTTCTTCTGGAAGACATTGTTTGACATGATGTTGTAGGTGGGCGAACCCCACAGGTTGCCGAAATAGGCGATGGGGATAAGGAGCCATGTCTGATACATGCAAAGAAAGCATTAGATGGAACACAATGTATGTTCACTCCAGTGACGGTATTTACTCACCGTCAAAGCGAACGCCAAGAACGTTATCACCTGGACGTGGTAAGGGTAGGTGATGACGGTCGAGGTGATATTCGACCAATTGAGAGTGATGTTCAGAAGACCCATCCCGCCTCGCCCGGCACCGATAAAGTTGACCTTGTGGCTCTTGCTCGCAAACCAACAGAGTGGAGCAAGAGCGCCAACGAAGGGGAAAATGAACTCCGGCAAAAACTGCCATACGAAGACACCGGCAAAGATGAGCCAGAAGGCTTTCATCTGCTGTTTTGATCGCTCGATGTGCAAGTCGGAAGTACCTTGGATTCCTCGGTAAACGGTGACTTGTTGCAAGGACAAGGGGAAGATGAATTGAGGATCGTCAATCAAGAGGGGTCGGACCATCGCGGCGAACGAGAAACCAAGGAGAGATGCGCCCTATACCCATCGAAGATGACCAATCAGTCCCATATTACTGTTCTCATCTTGAAGTTGACCTACCCATCCGAAGAAGAGAGCGGTAGCGGGGTTCATGGTGATATCGTAATACAACGCGGCGTTGGTGGGCAAAAAGGTGACCCAAGAACCTTGGGAACCAGCGTTCGCAGCAATACCAATGATGACATGCTCCTTGACCGAGAAAGGACCAGGGTTGAGCGAGAAAGACCACCTTCCCAAGGGGACCCTCTTGTCGGGGAGTATCTTTGCCAAGGTCTTTCCCAGAGGCTGGGAGGCGAGGATGACAAAGAAGACTGGGAACGGAGCAGTGGTAGTTCGAAAGCTGCCAGCGCAAGTGTGAGTCGTGATCCGGCTTAGGAAGGAGGGCGGTGTACTTACTAGGTGAGCTGGGATACGATACTTCCAATCGTGCAGAATATACCCGCCAAGACGATTGCTCGAAAAGTAATCACAGGTGCCGTCGGATCATCCTCGAAACTGACTGTCTCTCTCACCAACTCGGGGATATCCCTAAACTCTTCAGAATCCCAATCGTACTTTTCATCTCGATGGATGAAATCGTCGATCTGCGCATCAAGATGCACATCCCTCTTCTCAGACTGGTCGTTGTGAAAGTCTCGCTTCTCGTCTAGATCAGGCGAGCTATCAGTAGGGAATTTGTCGCTGACATCTGACTCGGCAGGAGAGAGGATTTCGTCGTTCGTGCGTCCATCTCTGGTGAGGACGGGATGTAGCTCCTCTGGAGCGATTTTAGACATTTTGACAGGGGGACGGTGCTGTATGAGAGAATACCAGGGGTTCTCGAGGTGCGCTGACGAGACGAGGAAGAACCAATCACCTCCAGCTCCAGACCTTCTTTTTAAATCAGATTGGGTGAGCCTTTTATTCTGAGCTTGCTTATCCCATAACGCTCAACTGCAAATCACCGAGAGGCGTAGCGCCATTTCGCTGCGCAATCACGCAGAAGCAGCCACAGCATGCTTGGCAGTCGTGGTCTTGAATTTCACTAATGGCGCAAAGTCACGTCTTTTAGCTGAGAATAAGCACGTCTTAGAGCGATAAACTCGGTACGTTACATCCCGGGTCCAGCTCGACCCAAGGAGAAGAATGTCGGACAACGCGCAGCGGGGCTTTCGGGAGAGCCTCTTTTGACGAATGGCGAACCCGACATGCGGTTAATTTCGCGACCGCTTATTCGCCCGAGGGTTACCTGGAATGTTATACAAATCAAGACTGATTCGCTGTCTCGTCAAAGCGCCCTCACCCTCATCCGCGCCGCTATTGTCCGTCGAGCTCCTCCCGTCTTCCTATGAGGAGGCATTCAAACCGTCCTTATCTCGCTTTTGCACTCCGGTTGCTGTCTTTCTGTCCATGTTTCGGCACCGATCAACTGAGGGTGTGAGAAAGGCACGTAGCTTACTGAGCAGCTAATAATCACGTCAGAGCAATTGCTTTTTATTGAGGCGAGGAGTACACGAGAGAAGTATGAGAGATTTGGCCAAGTTCACGTATTACAGCGGAGAATGAGTGCCAATCGACAGCGGATAATCAGGGGCAAAGAGTCAAGGGGCGGCGCTAGTCGCTAGTGGAAAGGTTAATTCTGATGAGCATCCGTGGCGTGCGCGATTCTTATCTGAGCGGTTGGACAAGGCCATGTACTTGGCTGAACTGACATCGATTCGCATATGAAAGCTTGATATACGCTACCCGTCCCGCTTTGCACGCAGAGGTGAGGCCGCCGGTGATCGGTATCTGGCATTCGACGCTGATTGAGACAACATTTGGGACTCTGTTTCAAGAGGCATTGTCGCGGAGATAACCGATGCTGTATGGCGCCATATCACCACAACATTCCTCTTCACCAGGTTTCAATTGCTGCTATCCAGCAGGTCATGTTTCTCGTTTTATGATTGCATGTCTTTGGACGCCACGAGCTGCATGATACTGCTGCCAAGG